GGGGAAAAAAAACAACCAGGAACAAGGTAACCAGGCTGCACGGACACTGAAATAAGGGCACACAGAGACTCAATACATAAGTGAGCAGAAGCAGCACGAAAGATAGGTGAGAATAATCAGGGCGGGGCAAATAATCAAAACTAGAGGGAAAACAAATAAAGACAGGAAGTGAACTTTTAACAAGACACAAGAAGAATTACAAAATAAAACAGGAAACAACCCAAACCATGATACTGTGATTATTACCCAGCCATGTGGACAGTGACCCCAGTTATAGTTTTCTGCCAAAATCCAAACTTTACCTGCATTTAGTGTTGTTCATTAATTCACAAATTATGTGCTTTGCAAGAAAAGTGCATTGTTAATTCACATTAGGATGTTCACCCTATTAGGATAATCAGGGTAATTATTTAAATGGCGGAGCGTAACATGAAGATGCATCTAAATAAGTCAAAATAAGAGCAAGACTTTTTGAGAGTCACCCGAGATTTGACATTTGACAAATGGAGAAAGCTTGACCCAAAGACAGGAGAAATAAATGACTTCTAAGAAAGGTCATTAAAGTGTGTTTAGAGATGTCTGGCAGGTCGCTCCATCATCCAGGAGGAGCCCTGATCAAGAGGCAACACGCAGCTTCTCCTACTGGATCTCTCCAAATGCAAAGACACAACAGTGACGGATGAGCAAGCAGCGGCAGCAAAATGAAAAGCCGGTTCAGAATAAATAGGTCAGGAAGGAAAAAAAGTGAGAACAGACGAGGAATAAAAAAACAAAGAAAACAAAAGATGCAGCGATTGACATAAGAAGGACATCCTGAACGCATCTGTCACTTTCCCTGTGACCCAGTTTTATCGCTGTGCACGCTGGTGTGGGTGTGAGAAATGTGCTGTGGCGTGTGTGTGTGTGTCATATATATCAGTGTTACAGTTGGCCTGTCCACTGGTGTGTGTTGTGTGTGTGTGTGTGTGTGTGTGTGTGTGTGTGTGTGTATTTGTGTCAGTTTTGTCAATTTGGGTGTGTTTGTGCTGACCTTCACTGACCTGGCCAACAAGAAGAATCCAATCTGTGGCAAACCCTGTCATGTGTGTGTGTGTGTGTGTGTGTGTGTGTGTGTGTGTGTGTGTGTGTGTGTGTGTGTCTTTTCTGTTATTATCTGGAGGAAGTTTTCAGTCCCGTGAGTTTGAATATCTCAAAAACCTGATTCCAGTTTTGACATCTGGTAGAAATTTTGTGGGCTTGGGCCAAGGAACAAGGTCCAGGGGCAATCTGAGTCAACTTGTAATATGAATGTTGCTGCACTTTGCTTTGATTTACAAACTTACATAACATATGTCAATGAAAAAGCATTACTGTGGCTACTCAAAATTCCCCCCTCTGGCAGGTGCATTTCGTGAAGACTGTCTGGGATGTCTGCTTATTTGTCCATCTGTCTCTCACTGTGCATGTCTGTCTGTCGGTGTGTGTGTGTGTGTGTGTGTGTGTGTGTGTGTGTGTGTGTGTGTGTGTGTGTGTTCTGCGTTGTCTGTGAGTGTGAGAACTGAGTGCTATGCTGTGCAGCCCTGGGGGAGGTGAAGCCACATTCAGGAACCTCTATGGGCGCCACAAAGCTGCATTCATCCAACTGAATAGCTGTTTTCTACAACCAGGCACTAGTCATCCCAACTCCATTGGAACGCCTCTATGAGTTACCACTCTCCCTGCCTTGGTATGCAAAGCCTTATCCAGCAGAAACACAAATGGTTGGATTAACAAAAGGCACAAAACACACTTACATGAAAACACTGAAGGGATACGTGACTCTCCAGTTTCAAAGGACTGGGTTTTTGAGGATTTCTCAACCCTTATTCTCATCCTTTTTTTTTAATATGAGATTAAGGATTTCCTGTTTTCTTTCATCTTTTGTGTGTACCTGCTCAGTCATTACTTGACTTCCATATGCCAAAGATAATTTACTGTCATTGTGAAGACAAAGCAGCATCTTTTTCAAACAGCAGCAATTTGCATATGACATGCAGCTGAATGGATGGTTGAGAATAACATGCTAAAGTCTCAGCAAGTCACAGCTGGTTCCACGAACGAGACGCTCAGTGGAAAACTCCCCCTTTAGATCATTTTACAGTATCAAAGATCACGATTTTGTCAGATTTAATGAAAAACAGACGTTGCTTTCTGACCGTGTGTGTGTGCTTTCTCTTCTCCTACTTAAGGTATATTGGGGTCTTACAATTCCCAGAATTCCTTTTGCTAGCCCCTGCAGAGTGGACAGGAAGCATAAAGCTTTTTTAAAAGGAAAGTGGACGAGATCAGATAAAAGATAAGTTTCTTCAGTGTGTGGGCGTGACTGTGATGATCTGGGAACTCTTTTACAGTCGTCACCATCCTGCAGAGTGAAGAGCAAAGAAATGCATCACTCTTCAGGTGAACACTTACTGTTCAAAGTGATAAAGTCCACTAAGGTCAATATTTACAGGTGCCTTCCCACACCGTAGCACTGTCAGACTACTGTGGCGTGGTATCATGGCTGCCGGGCGTGCACTGTGAAACCGTGTAAGCTGTGATGCAATTCTGATTTTGATGTCAAAAGGCTGCTAGCAGAGTAAATCAAGAAGCCTCAGCATGCAGCCACAGCTGGAGTCTAATGAAGGAATCAAGCAGCAGGAAAAAAAAGAACACAACCTCTCATTCAAATTCAGGTAATGTCTCTTTCCAATTAACAGAGTGCCGGAGTCATGATTCCCTACATTGACTTCCTGTCAGCAGAGCCCCTGCTCACTCCCGCTGCAGATACTGGTGTAGAGTTTTGCCTGATCGGTCACTTGGAAAGGCCCGGGCAGCTGTCAATCGATAGCCCTGACTGTCGGAGGGGTGGCTGGGGGGAGGGTCTGGCACCTCGTTTTAAATCTTTATGCTAATGTTGTTGGAGTGTGTGTTTTTCACGCCATGCTGCCACTGCACAGACAGTCTCAGAGGCCTATCAGAAAGTGTTGGATAGTTAATGAGAGAGAGTTCATTAAAGACTCAAATCTAAAATCAGCTGGAGGTGGTTGGTAAAAGAACTGCTTCAAAATCTGATGGCTGCAAGATGATTGGTTAACGGTAGATCTGATGTAATCTGATTGGTTGAATAAGGTTGGACAGGAAGTACACTCTGTGGCCACTTTGTGTTCTGCCATAAATTCTACCTTTACAGAGATTATAATGTTCAGTTATGATTGACAACTGAGAGTTTAACTGTGTGTTATTGTTGTAGTTTGCAGTAACGGACTATTACTGACTGTTTGGTCCAGCACATTAACAAACACAAGAATATTGTGAACACATTTCAACATAAGTACACAACTACTAACGGCTACCTCAGTAATAAACATATAGCTGCATTAACACTAGTGGTTGACCGATGTGGGTTTTTCAAAGGCTGATGCAGATATTTCCTGACAGGTCTGATGATGACCGATCTATGATGCCGATATCAGAACAAAGACAAGTTGTGTATCATTCTTTTCTGTTCTACAGGAAATGCAGGCGTGTGTTTACAGCAGGATGCAGGAGTGTTACAGTACAGGGCCTGAAACCACGTTTTTCACCACCTTCCCATAACTCACAAAGAGGAGCATTACGGTCGTTCCACAGCAGACACACTGACGAGGCCGCCTGCAGATGTGTCTGAATCTCGCATTTTGGTTATCTCAAAATGCCAGATAATCGGTCCAATGAATCAGTCTATCACCAATTAACACCTCTCAGAAACTGGCCATTATAAGCATTGTAAAGGTCAGATATGGCAGATGTTGCACTGGATTGCATTACATTGCATGGGTGTATCTAATAATGTAGCCAGGGAGTGTATATACTTATGACTCAGGATGCACCAAGTGGGTATTGACCTGATCATCAGCTGATTTGGCAACATATCCTGTTACTTAACATAACAATGATCCAACGAGTTCCACAGTGTTCTATATAGATTTTAAATTTGGGAAAAAGAGAGTAGTGGTATAGAAACCAGAATATATTGACACCTTGTGATGAGAAGAATCAGAATCTGTGTCAGTCTCGTTGTTATAACTGAACTTTTACTAAGCTCCACTAACAACAGCACAAAACAGAAATGCAACATGCATGCTACAGATGCAACAAAGTGCAGAACAGGCAAATGCAGTACAAAACAAAAGGAGGATGGATACAGAGGCAGTCAGCAGTGTGTAGCAGGGACTGTGTGCAGTAATAGATACAAGAGGGGTGGGGTGAGACTCAGAGAGAGAATAATTGAACAGTGGATCATTGGCTAATGGCTCCTAAACCACCAACTCTCATCTAAAAACATTCACTCTCATTATACTGCAATATAATACTGCTTGATAAATCACTGCTGCCCCGCAGTAGAGTCACCTGCACTGTCCATTAACACAGACCTAATACACACTGTTCTTTCCCATCATCGCAACAGTTTCACTTCACTCATACTGTTTCTATATTCACACCCTTATTTCAACAAGCCCTCCCCCTCAATCTGCACCGCTTATATTTATGAGGGAAAGCCTTCTGTAAGACTCTATAATGCTGAGATACCATAAGAGACAGACCATCTCATAAACACACACAGGGAGTCAGTGACACCACAGACAGTACATGACTCCATAAACTACCATAATGTCACAAAAATGCCCTGGGGGGCTCCAGTAGCACAGACACATGTCTCAAAGGGAATACTTAAAGATTATATGAGAACACTGATGACACAGCATAGAAAAAACACCATAAAGTGCTTTAAAGAGATCCACAGAGCCAAAGGCATGCCTTTAGAAGTGTTGCAGAGGAGGAAGACTAGGATCTCTTCATAATTTACCACATTAGCACAGGGAATCTCAATTTAATGTTTTAATGAGCAGAAAAAATGAGCAAACATGAACTAACATCCGCTGGGTTTGACAGCCTCTCTCAGCGTTAGGATCGTGTGCATCCAAACACACCTACAGCGAGTTAAACCCCGATCCACTCACCCACTCCTATCTTCTCGTCCTCCGTCGGCGTCCACATGATGTCCCGGTGTGCAAAGAGCAAAATCCCCAAGAAAGTATAATCACCCGATGCGCCGCTTCATGGGAATCCTACAGAGGTATCACCGGAGAGGGGGGGGGAGACACAGCGCGGGGGGAGGAGAGGAAAAGTTTACTTCAAATGTTCAAGAAGGGGGAGAAATAATCTCTCTTCAGGTGTCGACGTCGGATAGGCTGAAGTTGCTTTAAATGATGAGGGAATGATGCACTGGTTCATATCATTGTCAGGTTTGGTGTGACGCATGGCGCAATGTGTTTGTCCATCTCTGCTGGTAGCTACTGCGCTCTACCGGGACAGCCAGCCGGTAAAACCCTCATCCACAACGACAGCAGGGACTCTGTAAAGATGTCTCACAGCGACAGGGGTCTGCTGTTTCCACAGGGAGTGGATATTTAAAAAGTACTATGAGGTCAGGGCAGTGGGCAGCAGGCTACTGTACCACCACTGCTGTGAATCCCCCAGCCACTGTGGTGCTGTGGGGTATTTAATAAATACAGTGTAAGTGTGTGTCAGACAGTGAGGATGTTATCAGAGTAAAGAGAGCGCTCAACACTCCCAGTCCATACTGGAAAATCAGAAAACCATCGTGTTTCCGTCCAGTTTAGCCCAGCAGTCTCTTGCCTTGCAGGGATCCCCTTCAGTGCGGCATCTCTCCGACTCCCCGGCTCCCGCTATGTTGTTGTTGTTGTTGTTGTTGTTATTTTCTTATTTAGACGTACGCACGCATTTTCTCCCGCTGTGCCGTGTTCGCCCGTTGCAGCTGTCAAACTTGTTGTGTGCAGTAGAGGAAGAATAAGAGAGTCCGGTCCGCTCGGTGCTCGGGGTCGCTGTGAACCGACCGGCGGAGAGAGTCGTGCGCAGCCAGCAGCGGGGAAGCCTACATCAGTTTAAAGAGGATCAGACGAATGAAAAGCCTACAGATAGAGAGAGAGTGGGTTGCACGGCCGAGAGAGGGAGATCAGTGTGTGTGTGTGTGTGTGTGTGTGTGTGTGTGTGTGTGTGTGTGTGTGTGTGTGTGTGTGTGTGTGAGCGCTGGGAGATCGGTAAAGGTTATCATTGGTGACATGAGTCAGAAAATGGCACATACAGTTAATGTTCAGGGACAGCAGAGTGGACCGGACCGATGCGTGCGCACACACAGACGCACTGGCGACCGTACACGAGGAGAAACACAGAGACATAAACACAGTGGGTACATACAGGAGCAAATGTTCAACATATAAACACACACACACACACACACACCACACTGTACAGAGCCATATGATCTCCAACACACACACACACACACACACACACACACACACACACACACACACTGTACAGAGCCATATGATCTCCAACCACACACACACACACACACACACACACACACAACCTCAGGCTGCATGACTCATCACCACTCCACCACAGTGACATAATTCCTGTCATGTTGTGGGTGAGAGTGATTTACAGTAGTCTACAGATGACTGTGTGTTCATATACATGCCGGAACGGGACACATTGTGTGTGCGTATTGCGCCACCGTGTGTGTGTTCTTGGGCAGCACACTGTTTGACACGCAGAGATATTATTGTCACGGACTGTTTCATTGGTTCATAAGGTAACCATGGTGATCTCCAGAGAACCTCATGAAGTCGGGTCATTATAAAAGATAAAAATACTTTGTAGATGAAAAGAAGCTTTCTTCTTTGTGTTTGTTAATGTGAGCTTTCTCTTACTGCTCTACAGAGGCAGCATCCACACAGGAGGAAGAGTTCAGATCATATTCAAAGTATAGAAGTCCTGCATTAAACATGTTACTGAAGTAAAAGTATATTATAATCAGGAAAATGTCCCCTGTGACTGTTAAACTGTAATTAATTATATCGTTGGATTATTATTTTTACTGTTCACTGTAAAAAAAAACCTCATAATTTCAAGGAAAATGTTTTGTCTCACTAAATGTTTAAGTTTTAAGGAAAAGAGTTAGAAGTTAGTCAGTTCAAAATAAACCTAAAACGTTTTGCCGTACTTCAGAAACTGTTCAGGTTGAGCTGTTTTTTTAAAAGAAATATTTGCATTTGAAAATATAAAATTATTTATTTTTCACTTTCACAATTTTTGAAATATATTTTTTTGTTAATAACATTTTTTTTCTGGAGGTTAGTTTAACTTTAACTGAAAAGTCTGATAGGATGTTGATTGTGGCGACCCCCTGTGGACAAACGTGGTAGTGTTTCTAAGAACTCATTTCAAGTAGAAACAGGAAGTGATGGTAGACAGATGTAGAGTTTGTAGCAGTGTGCTGTCGCTACGTCACCAGCTAACCAGCTGCTCCAATAACAAAGAACCACATGAGGAAGAAAAGACAACTTGGTAACTGTAATTGGAAAACTCTTCTTTACTTCACCAGCATGAAACTTCCAGTTCAATATTAAACGCACAATCTTCTGCTCCCATTAGGGCAGTGTGTATCCTCACTATGTGTAATGACAGTCAGCATCAATAATACACATTCAGACAGAATATATTACAGTGAACAAACAACAACAAGGCACATTGAAGCAACAGAGAAGATGGCTGACAACTCTTAATAAAATAAAATATATACAGTGCACAATATTGCAAGAAGATTCAAAGAACCATCACACATTGCGTCTAGAAGATTTGTGTTTGACACAATGGTGAAAAAAAGTAGTAAATACTTTTCTGTAACAATATAATAAGCATGGATTGAAAAATGATTCACACAAGCAATACAATATTTCCAACAAGCTGCAGTTCAGTTAAACGTTAAAGAGAAAAATCTTATGTTTCCATCTCTTCTCATCTGGACTCTGTCCGTCCTCTTGATTCGATCTCTTCTCACAAGCATTTCACAAGCTTCCTTTGAGTCGTAGTATTTAAGTTTGTGCTTTTGTTTTAGGGCACAACGTAGTTCATCTACAAGTTACATTACATACATTCAGGGATCTGCTGTTCTGACAGGTCACCTGATTATTTAGTGTACCTGTCCTTTTTAAACCCTGAGCTTTGAGAACTGAACATTTGAATTAAATACAATCAATATGATCTTTAAAGAAACTTCTCAAAGTCGGTTTTATCAGGTTTATTTATCAGTGTTTACTTCCTCAGGGGAAAGGAGCCTTACAACCACTACCAACCACACAATAAAAGAAAATCACAAGTACTTTAACAATGAAAAAATGCCTTTTTAATAACAAACTAATGACTCTTGGGTAATAACAAACTAATGACTCTTGGGTAATAACAAATGCCTCTTCAAATGATAAAAAATGGGTGAGGGGGTTTTAATGAAAATAAACAATAAACATAAATAAGCCTGCAGCAAAAACTCGCGCACAAATTACACTAAAGTCATCACACTTTGATGGGGGGGGGGGGATCACCAAGATGCTCTCAGTCAGTGTTGAGGAGTCAGTCCCCACACCCTGTGCAACAGCAGTGAATCAGCTTCTAATCAGCCCTGAGGATCGTTGTCAATGAGCCAAAATGAATGGGAAAAGGGAAAATTAACACAGAACAGGTTGTAGATTAAGTGGCGTCATTGCAGAACCGTTATTAGAACCTGCAGAAAGAAAGAGAAAGTATATATTACATAAAGGCAGCTTTTAAGTGACACAGAATAGATTTTTGTGATTGATGCCGCCTCCCAAAAATATTTAAATGTTTGTATCATTTTTCTCATAGTCTCAGTGTATCTGTTATGTTGATGTCTGCACATTATGGATATGTTGATACATTATATAAACTTACCTTCATTACGACGTATTATGATGCGCTTTGTGGCCACAAGCAAAGCCAGAACTGCAGAAAGAGTTAAAACTCCCAAAACCCATCCACCAAACAATGATCCCATGAGCACCTCCAACAGTTTCTCTGAAATACATCACAAATAAAGGACAACACTGCCGTGGTCAGTCAGTTTAACAAACACTTTGTGCTTGGTGTGTATTTGACAGTTCTAACTTAAATACATCGATCCCATGTTCCGCCACTACAGCATCTGATGGAAAGCTAGATATTTTTGATTTTAAACCTATTTCAGTAGCTCAAGTGTTTAAATAAATCTATGAAAGACATTGACCACAAAAAGTCTGTAGTTCCTGACAATCTGGATCCCCACCTTCTAAAGATAGCGGCAGATTTAATGCTGAGCCCATTACTCGTATTTTTGAGTCTTCTTTTCAACCCAATACCTAAAATTTAGAAAGCTGCCTAAATTCTCCCCTTACTTAAAGGTGGAGTCTCCTCAGAACAATTACTGTCCATTTTCCAAATCCTCCTAGGCAAGATAATTGAATCCTGGTAAATTTTAAGTTAAAAGTCAGTTAAAACAGTTTTTAGTTGATAACCACATTTTAAGTGATTTTCAGTCTGGACTTAGAACTGGCCACAGTTACTGCTGCTATGGTTGTGACAAATTACCTCATTGGTCACAACCACCTTGGAGAGCATTGCACTGCATTATTTGTGGATCTATCCAAGGCTTTTGATCCAGTGCATCACGGATTGGAAGCTTAGGAATGCTGGTTTGAGTACTAAGGCTGTTAAATGGTTCAGAAATTATTTTGCAGATTGAGCTCAGTGTGTCCAGGCAGAGGGCCATATATCAGATTTTCTTGAGATAGCTAAAGGTGTCCCCCAGGGTTCCATTTTGGGACCTATTTATTTTTCAAGCAAAAATACACTTTTATGCTGATGACATCATTTATACACATGCTCCCTCCATAGCAAAGCAAGAGCTTCAGCCTTCACTTCATTTACAAACTTCTCTGCTGAGTGTAAAATTGGTTTTAAATGCTCAAAAGACAGAGTTCATAGTCTTCTCTAAAGCTCGCTTACAGTTGCTTGATGATTTTACTATTTTCTTGAGAAGCCATTGTATTTGAATTTGTGTTTTATTGTGGTTTAATTGTGGATCTTTCTCCATATTATGTTTTATATGTTGTATTTTAATAAATTGTGATTTTGCACGGCAGCTTTCTTGGCCAGGTTTCTCTTGTAAAAGAGATTTTTGATCTCAACAGGACTTCCTGTTCATCTACAGCACACTGGACATAGATGCAACAACAATTAAAGGGGTCTAAAAACTCATGAATAATGAAAATGAATTGATGAAACCACCAACAAAGAAATCTCACCACTGACATACACGTAGGTCTCAGAATGAGTCTGATGATCAATTTCCTCCTGTGTGACTACACAACGGTAGCGGTCGGTCTTGGTCACAGTGGTGAGGAGGGTAATGTAGTAACATCCTCCTCTGTATGAGAGAATTGTCTCCTTAGCAGGAAGGATGTTTCCGGCACTGTCCACCCACTTTATTTTAGGTTTAGGAGAAGCACGTTGAACCTCACACTGCAGCTGTGCCATGTACTCTGTGGCATTAAGTGTCCTGGTATACGGCTTTGGAGCTGCTCCTGTAAATAAAACAATATAAAGAAAAGCTAATAATGTCATAATGGGATGTTGCTGTGTTCATGTCTTCCCTGACTGTGGATGTGGAATACATTGTGTTTAAGGGAAAAGCACAGACAGAAACAGAAAAGCACTATGTGAGCTTTAACTTAACACTCCAGCATTGTATGATAGAATGTGAGAAACAGTTTTACATCTTTTGAGAAATTTCGTAATTATTGACGACTGAAAGTATCTATTTCTGACGTAAGTCTGGACACTAAGAGTTTCTTAAAATACGTTTTGTTGTAGATCTATAAAAATCCATTCAAACTGGCTTCTCCAGATTTCCTTTTATACATTTTTAAATTCCAGCTAATCAACATTTAAATTGAATATTTAATCAATAGTCAATGTCAATCCACTGCTTTCCAACATGCATTACAGAGCTGTAAATAAATATTGACTGAGAGAATAGATAATAATTGTCTTGTTTTAAAATGATGTGCATCACGGCCATAAAGCACAGTTATTAAACACTGCTGTCTGAGAATAATGACACATAATCCATTCATCCTCCCATCAAGGTTGCAAACACTGAAACCCGCTTTGACATGAGGGAAGGTGGGGCCATTGCGTAATTTGTGTGGCCCTATGCAAGTGGCGTTGAAAGTGTATAGGGTGGACTGTAGCACACTGTACAGAAGTCATCACTCACCTGCGATTTCTCCTGATCTGTCTTTAAGGACAGGATCTGAAAGACAAAGAAGAACTTTAATTTTTGTCCAGGACTGGAGGCAAAGAAGTAAGCATAGACAGAGGCTAAGTCCCCACATAATGTACAGACATCAGACAGACAGAAGAAGACAGAAGATCTTGCAGGCAGACAGAAGGACAACTTGTGTGGTATTAATTACAGCTGCTTATAGGAGAAGAAAAGAGGAGACAAATATGTCTGGTCTATTATTTTATTATATATTATTATATTGATACTAAGAGCATTGCAGCCTGAAACTACAGCAGCTAAGGATGCAGTTTCTTGATTTGGTCTGAGGGGGGACACAGTGTCTTGCTAGACTGCGAAAGTGGAAAAATGGTTCATAACAACAACGAAATTCTACTCCAAGGAGCAAAACACCTCCACCGATTTGCACAACATTACACACAATGTCTGCTTCACCCTTTTTGCAAAACATTACACACAGTGATTTGTAAAACTCTACACACATTTTCACACCTTAGACACAGATAAGGATTGTGAGGTTACTTCCTTGTCATTACAAAGCCCCGGATTGCCAATGACCACACTAATGAACAAATTGGATAATCACATCCACCAGGTGTGGAAGCACACATGTGCTAATTTAAAAAACGCAGCACTCAGCCAGACGGAGAGATGATGAATAGTTACAGTATTCTTGTTGCTTTTACAGTAGTTTTTCTTCAGAGTCAAAGTGTATGTACTTCATGCAGTAATTTTTATTTGTCTACAGATTTTATTTGTTTCATTGATTTCATTGTTGGTTGATTACTGTAACTGATTATGGTAAGAAATACTGTAAGGATGGAAATAAATACTTGAAATATTTAGTCTGCAGCATCAGTGTTGTGCAGTGCTTGGTAAGTTTATAGTAGGCCTATTTGTGTACATTCTCCCTATATCTCAAACTAATCAGGAAGAATGTTGTGGGTTTGTCACTATTTTTTTTGACATCTAAATTATCCCTTACATAACAAAGTCTGGCCAAAAATCTCGCACATGCTATTTCCTAAAATTAGTTTTTTTACAAATGTGTTTTTTATTTATCACAGCAGTGTGAAACTGGCTGCAATAGTGTCTGATCATTGAGGACTGTGTTGGTTAAATGAAAACTAATAGCATTTTCACAAATATGTGTATATGTTTTGACTGAAGTGTGTCATTTTGCAAACAATCAAGGAATTATGCAAATTGAGTGTGGTGTTAATTGTGATTATATTTTGAAAAAAAGAACCAGTTTTTCAAAATTGCGTGTAAACAATTGAAAAAAACTGTAAGATATTAACTGTTAAATGAAAATACTCACCAACAACAAGCTCAATGTAGAAGGTTTGTTTTGGTTGAATCTTTGGAAAATCACAGGTGTAATTTCCACTGTCAGCTATCGTTGTATTTCTGATCTTTATGGAGGCGTTGCCGTTCTTCAGTTGATCAGAAAAATGTGAGACTCGATGTTTGAACTGCTCATCTTGACCTGGACAGCCGTAATTGGAAGGATCACCTGCATCATACACGAACACCTCCTTCCTCCTCTGACCATCTTTCTTCCAGTCAAAGAGCTTATATACAATGTTCTCCTTTGAGCTGAGAGAACAGGGTAGAATAACATCACTGTCTTCTTCCACAACCACTCTGACCACAGCTGGACCTGAAAGATGAAACATATTTCATATTACTGTCCTTTCTTTCAGTTCAGCGACGCACTGGCCCGTTGCTTCTACCCTGCAGTAGAGACCCTGGTGCACTGTGGGATTTTATAACTGACCTTTATGAGCAGGACACGCACTTTTACTTTGTCAACTGTTTGGAAATCTGATGTAGAGGAGGTTGGACTGCCGTCTATAGGAAGTATGGAGTATGAAATAACTTAATGCAGTGGTTCCCAAAACTGTGTGAAAACTGTACAATGAACCCAAATACTAGTGAACTATTTGTAACTGTAACTGCAAGAAGTTTGTGTAAAACGCGTTTGAACAAATAATGTGCAAATGATTTCCTGTTTAGGGAGCTCGTTTTCAGTATTATGTATTTCTTTTTATAATTTTCAACAATCATTCATACTTAACTTCTTTTTTTGGTGAATTCTGTGTTTTATTGTCCCTGCTGCTTGGCCAATGTTCTATTAGACATTTTACTTTACACACTACACATTTACTTTTCTTAAGGGAACCAGATGCTAAGATATAGGTCTACTGTGTATATTTTTAATGTTTTGTAGCATGCCTTAAAATCAAGAAAGCCTCGGGACCCCCAATGAAGCTTTGGCGACCCAGAGTGGTGGTCCGGACGTCCAGGTTGGGAACCACTGATGTGTAAGGTTTGCCAAATTTACAAGAAGGCCCAAATAATTAACAATAAATTGTAGATAATGCTGCACAAAGTTTATAAAGTTTCTCCTCACTCAGTAACTCCCAAAATTGTCTGGTGATATTGCCGTTAGTTCAGTGGTCAAATCAGTTGAAACAGTGTTCACCAACACCTGCTGCTTATCTCTGCAGGTAAAACAGCCCTAGCACGTGATTTGCTAAATAAACATTGTGTTTCTGAGTACTTACAGGATGTCAGTTCAATAGGTGGTCATTGTATGTGGCAGAGGCAGTCATATGGACACACAGCTCCATATTAACATCAAAACAACATAGAGATATAATCTTTCTTTCTTACCGTTTTCATGTCCAAGAATTATTCCAGACAGCAGACAGAGACACATGTTCATAAACAGAGTGGTGAGCTTCATCTTTCTTAGTTCTTCTGAAGAAACCTTAACAGGTCTAATATCAACTGTTAGATCACAATTCAGTGTTAATAACTGAGATATTTGAGGTTAAATGTCCCCAATAAACTGGTTGCAGACAGCTGTTCCACACCTGTACAAGGAAAACAAATCCCATTGGATACTTAAAGACAGGATTTAACAAAGACAAGCCCCCGGAAGAAACTTAAAGTGCAATTCTTCAGAATAAAAGCATAATGTCATGAATGTTGTTGGAAGCTTTTAACCAGCATAGATGATCATTTTACAGGTTTAGGACTGTTGTGTTATGTTTGATATGTTCACTCTTTCATTAACTGTCCATCAGTCAGTGTAAGCAGGTCCTGATGGGACAGGCTCCAGCATCCTTCAACCCTGGATGGGAAAACAGAAAGAAGACTGGATGGTGGATCATTTTGTGCTATTTTAAACATCAGACTGCTCTTTTTTATTGTGATTGCAAAAAAGGCTGAAGAACCAACACCCATTTCATTATTTACAACTGGCTTTTTCTACTTTGACATTTTGAAATGTCTTTCTGGCTTATTGAAAAATGTTTACACTAAAGGGTACACAACAGGGTTTATATTGGATTAAAGAGACACAGTG